GCACACACATACGTATTAAATAAGTTCCACCACAGCCTAGAAAAGTCTATCTAACAGATAATGTTCTTGAAATAGAGTACTAAGCACTGAAGAAACTGTCATGTAAAACCGTTTCCGTGGAAAAATCTGGTAAGCGCTGTAACTGATGGAACACACTCCCTTGTACTTAAAGTATGAACTTTATATTAAGACTATGGAAAACAAGCAAAAAACATTATTGGAACTGGGTCTCTAAGGAATAAAATGTCTGAATAAAAAAGAGATGAAGTCTACGCTTGGTGACAGCCAAATGGAAGCGTCCTATTAACTACAGGTAAGTGTTTTGGCTTCTTCTTTGACTGGAACTGACAGGAATAGATGGAAAATATCATGAATGTTAGGGAGAGTTTTCATCTTATTGCACATGATTGTTGAAGTATATTTTAGAAGTCTGGCATGATTTAAAACAAAAAAAAGTCAACTAAGACCACATCATCCTACCCAGCATACAAAAGTGAATTTGCGGATAAATTTTAGCGCTGTGTTCAAGGGAATTCCTCAGTATGAAAGAGCACCTTTAGAGCTCACTTGGAAGCAGAAGCTTCGCAAGAGACCAAAAAGGCTACAATCATCACATGAAATAAAAACTCTGCATGTATCCATTTTACATGCTGGATTTCACATGAAAATTCATTTATTAAAATAAGTGTGATTGGTAAATAAGTCTGAAGTGGCTCCTTTCTAGTAACAGAAGTTTATCAGTAGAGGGTATCAAGGAGTGTACACAATCTTTTACTAGTAGATTTGGGCACCTCCAAAACTAGGTGAACTGGAGACAGCATCCACACCCTGAGGATCCACAAGTGAAATACATCACTTCACAGTGCCCTGTCAGAGCGTCTGTAGCATAACTGCCACATGCCAAAGGGCACTAGAGGAACAGGACATAGAAACAGTCACAGAAATCAAGATTTCCTTCCTTGGTGCCCATTTTAGGGGAAGAAAAGAAAAGGAGAGGAGAGCAGAGGGATGGGAGGGGAGGGGAGGAGAGAAGGGAAAGAAAAGAGAAGAAAAGAAAATCCTTAACTATTTTCCTGGTCTGTTGAGATGAATGACACAGAGTTAGGCTGTTTAATCACAGCTACTTAACAAAACACAGAAAAAAATATTAAAAAGATAAATGTTTTATACAAACCAAGAAAACTATATATATGTAAATATGAGAACTTAGGTTAGTACTTCCAGAGTCATGTTGGCGATGGCCACCTTGGGTTGAGCTAAGTGCTATGTATCCACGCTAGCTATAACGTCAATTCTGAAATAAAAATTAAGCCGAAAGGATGACATCAGCAAAGGCGACAGAATCAGACCCTCTGCATATCCTTTCCTCCCTGAAAGCAATGAGAAAACTGGCACCAATTGTCAGAATTAACTTTTTCAACACAAGGGGATGCAGCAATCCAGGAGCATTTATTCAAGGAAAAAAATGGCTGAATCTCACAAGAACACAGACCACTGAGTTGTTCTAGTACCACTCGCTCCTCCCCAGTGCATGGGGGCCTTGAAAAGCAGCCTGTAAAAGCCACACGTCTAGCAGCCACCCGAGAAACGGAAAGCGGCTAGAGCTCTTCTAAAGTCTCACTCTCATAAGGCTGCCACTACTTGGCCTGCCTGGTAATTCCATGGAAGGTCCCATTTGCAAGACTATCTGTGTTTGGCCTGAATTCAAGCCCACACAGTACAAAAATTCCTTTTTTCCAGAAGTGTCTGTCAAAAATTATAGGCAACCAGCGAACTTCATGGCCAAAAAAGTGGGTCAGTATCAAGAATAAAATAAAGTAACCAAAAAGATTAACCTGGAAACCTAGGGAATGAGATGTCCACAGGGGCTCTGGAAAGTTTTCACATGTTCCTGGGAGTGAAGAAGGCCCTGTGCATGCTCACGGCTCTGTACATACTCAGGAAAGATATGAGAAGGCCTAGACTCTCACATCTGGTTGACCCTGAAGCTGTCTGCACAAGCGGGAAGTGAAGGCTAAGGCAGTGCTGTAAAGTGCCAGCCTGAGTGCTGAAGGAGTGTCTCACACACACAAACACACACACAGCCCCTCAGCAAAGATGGGAGACTTACTGGTTCCAGGTGTCTGAGAACATCTTTGTCCAATCATTAACCACATTAACGAAGCACAGACATCGGTGACTGTACACGACAAATAATACAGAGTTTACAGAATTAATTCACAAAAGTCACTAGACAAACAGCAACAAAGACTAATAATAACAAAGCCATGGGAGAGGGGAGAATCTGAGCTCCAGCGTTACCACATTATATTATTTAAAATTTACCAGGTTTTAACAAAAACAACAAAAAATTTAAAAGACATGCAATGAAACAAGAAAGGATGGCTAATACAGAGAAGAAAAAACTAACAGGCACTTTGAGGAAGTCCTTGATGATGCTTCACCTACTAGACAAAAACTTTAAAGCCACTATTTTAAGTATGTTCAAGGAACTAAAGAAAACCATGCCTTAAGAAGAAAGAAAAGAAGAAGTAGAGTGAACAGAGCATCAGAAACGTGTAGGACCCCATGAAGTATAACAACATAAGCATAATGGGCAGCCCCGAAAGAGAGAGACAGGGGCAGAGGGGATCCCTGAAGAAATAATGTCCAAAAACTTTCCACATTTTATGAAAACAACCTACATACCCAAGAAACCCAACAAATTCCAAGAGAAAAACTGAGACATCCACGCCTAGACATGCCATAAATAGGGGGGTGGGGCTTGGCACAAATTAAGAGGTCTTGAAAGTAGTAAGAGGGAAGGGATTCACCACGTGAAAGCGATTCTCTGTAAGAATGGCTGCTTGTTTCCTTTCAGAAACCATGCAAACCAGAAGCCAGTGGGAACACAATCCAGACAGACCTAGAATAAATGGGAAAATTCCTAGGAAGACAGAAATCAGCAAAACTGATTTAAAAACTCAGAAAGAAAATCAGAAAGAAAGAAAATCTGAAGCAATCTATACAAATCAAGGAACTGATTACCTAAAAACATTTCCCCTAACAAAACCCCAGGTCAAGGTGGCTTCACTAGTGAATATTAGCAAAGGTTTCAAGAATTAGCATTAATCCTTCAAAAACTATTCAAGTAAACAAATAAAAAAAGGAGAATAGGAAGGACCACTTTCCAACTCATTCTATGAGACTAGTATTACTCTGATACCCAAACGAGACAAACGTATCACAAAAAAGGAAAATTACAGGCCTGTGTGCCTTATAAAACTAACTGCTACAGTCCTGAACAAATAAAACACCAGGAGACCAAGCCTGGCAACATGTAAAAAGAACTGTGTACCGTGACCAAGTGCAATTAATCCCGAAATTACAAGGTGGGTTCAACAAAAGAAAATCAATCAGTATAATAACACTGTATTAAAAGATAAAAAACAAAACCCACGTGATCATCATAAAAGAAGCAGAAAAAGCATCTGACCAAATCCAACATGCTTTCATGAGAAACATACTTAACAAACAGAATACAAGGGATATTTCTCAACCTCGTGAAGGGCTTTGAAAAACGTACACAGCTAACACCATATTTCATGTTGACAAACTAAAAGATTTCCCACTAGAATCAGGAACAAGGTGAGGATATTCCAGTGAGGGCAGTTAGGCAAGACTCTTAAAAAAAGGAATCCATATTGGAAAGAAATAAAACTATATATATTTGCAGGTACCTATCTTGTAGATAGGCAATTCTAAGAATACCACAATAAGACAATTAGAACAAATAAGTGAATTCAGCCAGATTGTGGAATACACTAACAATGAACAACCTGAAATGAAGTTATGAAAACAAGTCTATTTATAATAACATCAATAACAAAATTTTTAACAATAATTTAAATAAGGAGGTGTAAGACTTGTACACTGAAAACTACAAAACATTGCTTAAAGAAATTAAAGACTTGAATAAATAGAAAGACATCTCTTGGTCATGAAGCAGATTTAATATTTTCAAGATGACAGTATTCCCTAAATAGACCTACAGATCCAACGCAATGTCTATTAAACCCCAGCTGGCTTTGTTAAAAAAAAATTGAGAAGATGACCCTAAAATTATATGGAAATGCAAGGGACTGAAAATAAACATAACAACTTTTAAAAAGAACAACAAAGTTGAAGGGCTCACATTTCCAATTTCAAATCTTACTACAAAGCTACAGTAATTCAGAGTATGTGGCACTGGCGTTAGATTAGACACATAGATCAACGGAATGAAACTGAGATTCCAGAGATAAAGCTACATCTATGTATGTGTCCTAATTTTTCACAAAGATGCCAAGAAAATTCAGTGGTTTG